AGTAGAAATGGGGTTTCTCCCTGTTGGTCAGGCTGGTCTTGAACTCCTGACCTTAGGTGATCCGCCCACCTCAGCCTCCCAAAGTGCTGGGATTACAGGCATAAGCCACCGCGCCTGGTCCAAGTCTCTTTAGAGAGAGAGAGAGAGAGAGAGAGAGAGAGAGAGAACACAAAACTTTATAAAGGAAGTTGCCTAAGCCAAGGGCATAGCATATATTTGGAAGTGAAAAGCAGAGCAAGGACTCAAACCCAAGGCTTCTGCATAGCTGCTCAGATAGCTGAGTGTCAGACTAAAGCCAGACTAAAATCAGACCTAAGTGTAAGTGAGTAGATGAGTTCTTAGCTCCTTGTTCAACAAAGGACTTGAGCTGGGTGCGGTGGCTCACGCCTGTAATCCCAGCTACTCTGGAGGCTGAGGCAGGAGAATCTCTTGAACCTGGGAGGTGGAGGCTGCACTGAGCCAACATCATGCCACTGCACTCCAGCTGAGGTGATAGAGTAAGACTCCATCTCAAAAAAAAGGACTTGAGGCTGACTGATAGGCTCCTTTGAGATGTTAGAAATTGACAAACTAAGGGACTTCCCCACCTCTGCCCAACCAGAAATCTGAGTGTGATCCTTGGCTCCTTTCTTGTCCACCTCAATCCGTAGCTATCCAGTCCCAGACTACCTTCTAAGTGTCTCCCAATAAAGTTGGAGGGGCAACCAGGAACAAGAGGGTCATGTAAGCAATGTGTTCTTCATCCAAGAATCAACGAAGAGGCTGAGCAGAGAGGTGGCACACTCAGACATGCATTTGGAGAGGATGCTCAGCTGATGTGTGAAGAATGGGTGGGACATGCACCAGAAGGGAGGCAGACAGGAAGACCAGTTAGGACATGGTGTCAGCAATTCAGAGAGAGAAATGATAACCACATTCCAGGGAGAGGACACACAACAGCTGCAAAGCCAGGAAGGGAGGAAAGGGCACAACGCTTGCGGGAATTCAGTTGGATCTGTGGCCAAAGCAGAGGAGCAGGGAGGGCCTGGAAAGGAAGATGGAGCCCTATCCTGAGGAAGCAGGCTCAGACAGGGCAGCTCCCCAGTGTGGCTCAGGGCCTGTTTTAGGTTTGTCTAACAAGCTCTCCAGTCCCCATTTTCCTAAGGTGGGATTGTAGGTACTTATCACTAGGCGGACATTTCGAAGTTATTGTTTGTAATCAACAAAAACCAATTCTGGCAAACTTAAATATACAAAAAAGAAATATATTGGCCATATATTCAGGTAGCTGCCACTGCTGAACAATGGACACCAGAGTTCACATCCACACTATCTCCAGCACCAGACCCTAGAAACTAGATATGGCCACTGCTGCCTCTGTCACCAGGATGTATTCTTTGCCGGCCCTGAATCTTTGAGTCAAAGTCCCCCATGCATTTGATTGGCTGAGCCTAGCTTATGTGTTCCCACCCTTGCTGCAAGGATGCTGAGAAACTGTGTAGATGGCATTTGTGATTTTCATTCTGGGAGGTGGGCTTTGACTTACTGCAAGACTCATGGGATAGAGAATTTCCCAAAGATAACAAAAGAGTTTAGAGGTTGAGCAGCCAAAAACATTCAAGTATTCACTTCACTGTGAAGTGCAACTGGGTGAATTATAGGAATAGTTTAGAATGAGAGGCAACATGAAGGGATAGATGCCCTTGCTAACAGAGAGAACTTTGCCAGGATGCCTTATTTTGCCAGTATTGCTAGCTTGCTTGCTTTTTCTCTCTCTTTCTTTCTTTCTTTTTTCAGATGCAGTTTTGCTCTTGCTGCCCAGGCCTGGAGTGCAGTGGCGTGATCTCGGCACAACCTCTGCCTCCCAGGTTCAAGCAATTTTCCTGCCTCAGCCTCCCAAGTAGCTTGGATTACAGGCATGAACCACCATACCTGTCTAATTTTGTATTTTTAGTAGAGACAGGGTTTCTCCATGTTGGTCAGGCTGGTCTCAAACTCCTGACCTCAGGTGATCTGTCCGCTTCGGCCTCCCAAAGTATTAGGATTACAGGCTTGAGCTACCATGGCCGGCCTGTATTGCTAGCTTTCTAAAACAGGGAGAAAATGATCCTGACTCTGATAATGGTGGAGTATTATCCTCCACCCTCTTCCAGATAACAATATAAATGTTGGCCAAAATATAAAAGCGAGGATTTGGCTGGGCATGGTGGCTCAAACCTGTAATCCTCATGCTTTGGGAGGCCAAGGCAGGAGGATCACTTGAGGCCAGGAGCTCAAGACCAGCCTGGCCAACATAGTGAGACCCTGTCTCTATTTAAAAAAAAAAAAAATGAATTAACCAGGCGTGGCATGGCAATGTGCACCTGTAGTACCAGCTACTTGGGAGGCTGAGGCAGGAGGATGGCTTGAGTCTAGGAGTTTGAGGCTGCAATGAGCTGAGATTGCACCACTGCACTCCAGCCTGAGTGACACAGTGAAACCCTGTCTTTGAATTAAAAAATGAAAACGAGGATTTGAAAGCACTGCAGAGCAAACAAAAACAGTCTGAAACTAGAGGAGATTCCTTGTTAAATGGGAAACACGCTGGGGAAATCTCCTTTTCTATACTTTCCTTCTGAAGGCACTCCCCAGTCTGGGCGGTGCTCAGAAGCTAGGACTCAGACAGAAATCTTGAGGAAGGAGGAAGCTGCTTGAGATATTAAAGGGTGGAATTAGGGGCTGCTAAAATGGATAGAAATTGAAGGGGAAATCCTGGAAAGAAGAGGAGCACAAAGTGGGTAAGTCTCCAAATAAGTCTATAGGCATATATACACATATTTGGGGCCTTACCCACTCCGTGCCCCTCTTCTTTCCAAAGATCTGGCCTGACCCTTTAACATATAAGGACAGAGCTGACTCCAGGGAGGCCAGTGGAAAGCAGAAGATAGAAAGCCAAAAGAACTGAGCAGAGATTTCAGATGTTTCCCACCACATGGGTATAGAATTAGAAGTTTGAATCTCTCCAATTTACAGAGATTTGGTAAACACCCCAGGCTTTCCACTGAAACCTCAGAAGTGCCATACCTTAACAGTAAAGGCTGTTTCTCAAGACTAAAGGGTCTGGCCCAAGATTCATTGGCAAAACAAAATAAACCCAATAGCCAACAACTGGAAACAACATAACCGTCCGTCGGCATGGATGAACGAAACACAGGGGAAAAATGCAGTACAGGCTGACCATCCCAAACCCAAAAGTCCAAAATCTGACATGCTCCAAAGTCCAAAACTTTTTAAGGACTGACATACAGCTCAAAAAGAATGCCCACTGGAGCCTTTCGGATTTCAGATTTTTGTGTTTAGGATGTTCAGTCAATAAGTATAATGCAAAGATTTCAAAATCCAAAAAAATCAAAATCCAAAACACTTCTGATGTCAAATAATTTAGATAAGAAATACTCAACCTTTTTTTTTTTTTTTTTTTTTTTTGAGATGGAATTTTACTCTTGTTACCCAGCCTGGAGTGCAGTGGCATGATCTTGGCTCACTGTAACCTCTGCCTCCCAGGTTCAAGCAATTCTCCTGCCTCAGCCTCCTTGAGTAGTTGGAATTATAGGAGTGTGCCACCACACCTGTCTAATTTTTGCATTTTTAGTAGAGACGGGGTTTCACCATGTTGGCCAGGCTGGTCTCGAACTCCTGACCTCAAGTGATCAACTTGCCCCAGCCTCCCAAAGTGTTGGGATTACAGGCATGAGCCAGCATGCCTGGCCAAAAAATACATATTTAAAAAGAACCAGATAGAACATTTATAATTCAAAATACAATATTTGAAATAAAAAATTCACTGGTTGGGCTTACTCTCAGAAGAAGGAAGAGTGAGTGACATTGAAGATAGATCTAAATTATCTAATTTGAAGAATAAAAAGAGAGAAAAGATTGTCTCACTGACTTGTGGAACTTAAGTCATGTAATTTCAGTTCCAGAAAAAGAGATGAGAATGGGACAGAAAAAGTATTTGAATTTCATAAATTTGATGAAAAACCTCATTAGAAATCCAAAAAGTTTAGCAAAATCCAAGTATGAGAAATACAAAGAAAACAATACCTAAACATGTCATAATCAAACTACCAAAAACCGAAAAGAAAGAGAACGTCTTGAAAGTAGCCGCAGAAAAAGACCTATTTTAACAGACTGCATATAGAGAAACAATACACATGAAATCTGACTTCTCATCGGAAACCATGGAGCCAGGAAACAATAAAATACCATCTTTAAAGTGCTGAAAAATAAACAAAAACCTGTCAGTCTAGTGAGATAAAGATCTTTTCGGATAAGTGAAAGCAGAGAGCATTAATCGCCAGCAGACCTACAGAATAAGAAATGCTGCCGGAGGCAGTGGCTCACTCCCAGTCATCTCGGCACTTTGGGAGGCTGAGGAAGGAAGATTGCTTCAGTCCAAAATGTGCCACAATGCCTGGCTAATTTTGTATGTGTGTGGAGACGGAGGGTCTCATGTTCCCCAGGCTGGTCTCAAACTCCTGGGCTCAAGGGATCCTCCTGTCTCAGCCTCCCAAAGTGCTGACATTACAGGCATGAGTCACCATGCCTGTCCCCCAAAAGTTAGATCTGTAGAAAGATATGAAAGAACACTAGAAACAGTGAGTATATGGACAAATATATGAACAAATTTTTTTATCTACTTTTAATTGACTGGTAAACAAAATAATATTTTGTTATGGAGTTTTTAATGCATGTAGAAGTAAAATGTGTGGCAACAATAGCATAAAAGACAGGAGATAAATTGAATTCTATTGTTAGAAGGTTCATATCTTTTTTTTTTTTTCTTTGAGACAGAGTCTCCCTCTGTCACCCAGGCTGGAGTGCAATGACGCGATCTCTGCCTCCCGGATTCCAGCAATTCTCCCACCACAGCCTCCTGAGTAGCTGGAATGACAGGTACCTGCCATCATGTCCGGCTAATTTTTGTATTTTTGTAGAGATGGGATTTCATCATGTTGCCCAAGCTGTTCTGTTTTTTTTCTTTTCTCATGGAACACTTCACAAATTTGCGTGTCATCCTTGCACAGGGGCCATGCTAATCTTCTCTGTATCATTCCAATTTTAGTGTATGTGCTGCCAAAGCAAGCACATTTTCTTTTTTTAAAGACAGAGTCTTGCTCTGTTGCCCGGGCTGGAGTGCAGTGCACAACGCCCAACTACATTTTGTATTTTTAAGCTGACATGGGGTTTCACCATGTTGGCCAGGCTGGTCTTGAAACTCTTGACCTCAGGTGATCTGTCTGCCTCAGCCTCCCAAAGTGCTGGGATTACAGGTGTGAGCCATTGTTACCCAGCCCATATCTTTTACTCTAAATAAACTGTGATAGGTTATGGATGTGTATTGTAATCCCCAGAGCAACCACTTAAAAATACAGGAAGTAAGTAAATTTAAATGAAGTACTAAAAATATTTGATTAACCTGAAAGAGGACAGAAAGAAAAAAGAGAACAAAAAACAGATGGGACAAAAAAGAAACACAGCAAAATTGTAGATCTAAATCTAAGCGTATAAAAACTGCATTAAATATATATGGACTAAACATTCTAATTAAAAGAATAAAAAAGTAAGATAACTTTATACTGCCTTCAGAAAATGCACTTTAGGCAGGGCACGGTGGCTCACACCTATAACCCTAGGACTTTGGGAGGCAAAGGTGGGCTGATCACCTAAGATCAGGAGTTCAAGCCTGGCCAACATGGTGAAACCCCGTCTCTACTAAAAATACAAAAATTAGTTGAGCATAGTGGCGGGCACCTGTAATCCCACCCAGCTTCTCGGGAGGCTGAGGCAGGAAAATTCCTTTTTTTTTTTTTTTTTTTTTTTTTTTGAGACAGAGTTTCACTCTTGTTACCCAGGCTGGAGTGCAATGGCGCGATCTCGGCTCACCGCAACCTCCACCTCCTGGGTTCGGGCAATTCTCCCGCCTCAGCCTCCTGAGTAGCTGGGATTACAGGCACGCGCCACCATGCCCAGCTACTTTTTTGTATTTTTAGTAGAGATGGGGTTTCACCATGTTGACCAGGATGGTCTTGATCTCTTGATCTTGTGATCCACCCATCTCGGCCTCCCAAAGTGCTGGGATTACAGGCTTGAACCACCGCGCCTGGCCAGGAAAATCCCTTGAACCTGGGAGACAGAGATTGCACTGAGCTGAGATCACACAACTGTGCTGAAGCCTGGGCGACAAAGCAAGACTCTGTCTCAAGGAAAAAAAAAAAAAAAAAGCACTTTAAAACACAGACTGTTAGAAAATAAAAGAATGGGCTGGGTGCGTTGGCTCACACCTGTAATCCAAGCACTTTGGAGGCCAAGACCGGTGGATCACCTGTGGTTGGGAGTTCAAGACCAGCCTTACCAACATGGTGAAACCCTGTCTTAAAAAAAAAAAAAAAGAGGCCAGGCGCGGTGGCTTCAAGCCTGTAATCCCAGCACTTTGGGAGGCCGAGACGGGTGGATCACAAGGTCAAAAGATCGAGACCATCCTGGTCAACATGGTGAAACCCCGTCTCTACTAAAAATACAAAAAATTAGCTGGGCATGGTGGCGCGTGCCTGTAATCCCAACTACTCAGGAGGCTGAGGCAGGAGAATTGCCTGAACCCAGGAGGCGGAGGTTGCGGTGAGCCGAGATTGTGCCATTACACTCCAGAGCGAAACTCCGTCTCAAAAAAAAAAAAAAAAAAGAAAGAAAGAAAAGAAAAGAATGGAAAAAGATATTATGAAAACTGTGAGCAAAAGAAGGCTGGTATAGTTAAATTAATGTCAGAGAAGTAAAACTCAAGACAAAGATTGTTATCTGAGATAAAGAAGGACATTCCAGGCCGGGCGCAGTGGCTCATGCCTTTAATCCCAGCACTTTGGGAGGCCGAGGCGGGTGGATCACGAGTTCAAGAGATTGAGACCATCCTGGCCAACATGGTGAAACCTTGACTCTACTAAAAATACAAAAATTAGCTGGATATGGTGGTGTGTGCCTGTGATCCCAGCTACTTGGGAGGCCAAGGCACGAGAACCACTTCAACCCAGAAGGTGGAGGTTGCAGTTAACTGAGATTGCATCACTGCACTCCAGCCTGAGCAACGGAGCAAGAGTGTCTCAAAAAAACAAAAAAACAACTAAATGGTACTAGTCGAAGGACAAATAGGTTAATGGGATGGAAACAGGCCCATGAGAATACGGTCAATTGTCAGCATCCCCTTTTGGATTGTAAGCTTTGTATCTGGGTCTGTATTTGCCTGGTTTCCGGCTGCATCCCCAGAGCCTAGAACAGAGCCGATTACTTAGTGAGTATAAAGTAACTGAATAACCAGAGCCTAGTACATAGTAGGTGCCCAATAAATATTCATTGAATAAATGCATTTTAAGAAATGGGGTGGGCAGGGCCGGGCGCGGTGGCTCAAGCCTGTAATCCCAGCACTTTGGGAGGCCGAGGCGGGTGGATCACGAGATCAAGAGATCAAGACCATCCTGGTCAACATGGTGAAACGCCGTCTCTACTAAAAATACAAAAAAGTAGCTGGGCATGGTGCGCGTGCCTGTAGTCCCAGCTACTCAGGAGGCTGAGGCAGGAGAATTGCCTGAATCCAGGAGGCGGAGGTTGCAGTGAGCCGAGATCGCGCCATTGCACTCCAGCCTGGGTAACAAGAGCGAAACTCCATCTCAAAAATAAATAAATAAATAAATGGGGTGGGCAACAATCTGGTCCTCTCCCAGGGCCAAACTATATGCTTTTTACACATTTTATTTATTTATTTTTGAGACAGAGTCTCGCTCTGTCGCCCAGGCTAGTGTACAATTGTGTGATCTCAGCTCTTTGCAACCTCCACCTCCCAGGTTCAAGCAATTCCCCTGCCTCAGCCTCCTGAGTAGCTGGGATTACAGGTGCCCGCCACCATACCCAGCTAATTTTTGTATTTTTAGTAAAGACAGGATTTCACCATGTTGGTCAGGCTGGTCTCAAACTCCTGACCTCAGGTGATCCATCCCCTTCAGCCTCCAAAGTGCTGGGATTACAGGTGTGAGCCACCGCAACTAGCCCAAACTGTATGCTTTCAGATATGCTCATTCTGGAGGATGAGTGATCACCCTACCTTACTGGATTCCCACTTCTAGTTCCCTTTTCTGGAATCCTCTCTTTCCTTTCCTTTATCCAGAAAGTCAGCACTACTGGCTCCCTGATCTGCACTGTCCCCAACCCTCCACCTACTGTGGATCCTCCAAAATTCAGAAAGCAGATCATGCTAGGGGCTCTAGAGATTCTCCTCCAGCAGAACCAAGATGGAGGAAGAATGAGAGACTGGGCCAGAATTGCCCCCTTGGTAGGGTGATTACCTGCACAGGGTTGCCCAGATGGCAGTGGGTAGGGGTTTCCTGGGACATAGGACTATGAGTTTTTAAACCAGGACAGTCCTGAGCAGGATGGTTGGACACCACCCCTCGTGGGAATCCTCCAGCCTCCTTGATCAGAAAGGGATGGACTATACCTCTCCCATGGCGGGGACTGCCAACCCTAGGGTCAGCAGTCTTTTTGCAATGATTGGTTTAAATGTCCAGAGCAAAGATGGCTCCATATCCTCACCCCAAAACTGGGTCTGAAGCTTAGGAAGAGCTAGGTAAATAGTTGGATGACAGCATGCTTAGGAGCAGAGAAAAGGCCCTGCCCTCTGGGACTCCCTAAACCCAAGGTGGGCTGTGTGTTGACAGCTACATCCCCTCCTTCCTGCACACTTCGCACCTCTCCCAAGCAGGGAGATGCCTTTCTTTCCCCATCTAGCCCCATTGTACCCCTGCCCACCCTGCGCATTGTATCAAGCACCAGCATATTTCTGCAGTCAACATTTATGGACGTTTTAATTATTTTTATTAAAGTATTTTTTCAAAAGTTTCAATATAGAATGTTAGTAAGGGAAAAGTCAAAGCCCCACCCCACCCATCCCACACCGCCCTATCCCCTCCCTCTTAAAAACACTTCATTTTCACCTTTTCTGCTTTTAGCTATGATGGCTTGTGCCACAAATCCAATTGATATGCATATACCTCAATTTCTTGATTTATCCATTTGAATTAACATTTGATAAATTAATTAACAATTTCTCGATTTATCCATTTGAATTGACTCTTCTCAAGAAAAAAGATATGTGCTCACTTATGTTAATGCTCATCTCCCAATCCTTGTTACAGTGTTAGTTTATTCTCCTGTTGACTGATGATTGCTTAAAACTTTTATTTCCATTTCTATCCACTTTATAGTATCTGCCTTTTTTTCCCCCCTTTTCTTTTACTTTTATTTTATTTTTTTGTAATACAGATGGGGTCTCAACATGTTGCCCAGGCCGGTCTTGAACTCCTGGGCTCAACTGATCCTCCTGCCTTGGCCTCCCAAAGTGCTGGGATTACAGGCATGAGCCAGTATGCCTGGCCAAGATAGTATCTCTTGATTTATGCTATGTAAAATGAAAAAGTTAGCATCTGTGCGATGTTTGATCTCTTTTCCTGTACTTCAGCCTTCTGACACTGATAGTTATACTCTTATATTGCCAAGAGTTATAATATTTACATATGTTCCATAACTATAATTAAGTCTTCCATGTTTTATCTAGAGAGTAATCCCACTCATTTAAATCCAATAAATAGCATTTTCAATATTACAATAAGAAAAAAATTCTAATTTGAGATTATATTGGATTCATAAAACAAGAAAGGGCATTATGCTAATAAAGACATCAATTAGACAACATCAAAGAGTCCTGGGAAATAAAAAACATGATTGCCCAGATGAAAAATAGAATTAAAAAGTATAGAAGCTACGGCCAGCAAATGAGGAAGTACTGAAAAAAAAAAAGGAACCCGAAAGAGCTCTCAACAGCCAAAACCGGAACAGTACAAGCAAAAAAATAAATGATGTCATATTGGATTGTAACCCAAAGTATAAAATAAATAAACATGAGTCTGGAGTGATCTAAATACATGGTTGAATAAATAAATACACGGTGGGAAAGGACAGATCTTCCTTACAGAGGAATACCAAATAGTATATAGATATACTGTCCCCTCCAGATGGAGCTGAATTGGCCCTGCCCCCTTGAATGTG